CCACATTAACATTGAATGAAATAAAAATAACTGAACTTTCGACATTAAAATTGAAAGGTATCACAACACGCCTTAATCCATCCCCTTATTGATTGATCAATACACGTAACTTGCACTGCTTTATCAACAATCTAATTTTAGATCTACCAGTCTATTATATATATCAAAATAAAACACAATGAAGAGGCAGAGACTTTGAATTAATGGTATTAACTTAAATGGAATTTACTCCCAAGCACACAGCAGAATCCAAAATTTGCATCCTTTAGTTTTGATTGCATCTGATTGCAGTGGTAAACGTAAGTTAACTGCCCATGCCCCCCTGGAATCCAATAAAGCAGAACTCAACATTCAAACATGAACATTGCTTTATTTTTAGAATTCATGGAGAAATTGGCAGCATAAGGCAGGCAGCATAAGGGCTGCAAAAACATTTTGGTCTATGTGGCTTCATAGTGATGGTATTGGTATGTCAAAATTTTCATATTTGAGCAATTGCATATTTTTGAGTACACTTTAATAAAAATTTATTGACCTTAATCTGATGGCAAGAATACAATATGGAGTAAATTAACATTAAGTTTTTACATGAACTTCAATGTTCAAGGGTAATTTTGTATCATACATATATATATATATATATTTTCAAAAATACTTTCAAATTTCAAAGGTTAGCCTTTTACGCTGAATGTTACCTTCACAGTCAAATTATGTACTTCTTTCATAAACAAGAATCCCCGCAGTCATTTTTTTAAAAATCCTTGACAGTATGCAGTTATCCTTGACAGAATGCAGAAATCTTTTTATTCACACTTCCAAGAATCACTACTTATAAATACTAAATTCACAAGTAAATTCACAGATAATCAAATATCAGTTCAATCAATTCTATATCCATTAGAAGTATTCAACCCCTCCCGATTTGATGTTACTACAAATATACCCATTAAAAATTAACAACACCCTTTTTAAGCCACTAAAAAAATGTCTTCAATATGTTTTATTAAGAGCAAATTTTTCTCAACCGAAACTGGTTTAAATGGGCGAAGCAAGTCGCAACCAAAACTTTAAATTAACGAAGTTAAGCTTCATAAAAAATATTAATCATTTTACCTTTTTTGTATACAGAAGATGCTATCTATGCTTGGTTATTAAGCGGGTTATCTGCATCGTGTAAGCATTCAAATATAGCGAGCATAATTTATGTCAAATTTTCACAAAGATCCAAATTTTTTATGACTCCAAATTGAACTTTATATGAGAAAATTTTACGTTTTCTAATTTAACGAAAAACGTGTAAATAATATTTCCATCTTCTCCGGTTGTTAAAACTTATAAATTTACATGCTGAACTACAAAAAATGTATTTGTATTGGTTTTTTCATGACGTGTACATTTCAATAACTCTTGGTACGCTACAATTGAATTTTCTACCCGATAGATCAAAATACTTTGCTAGTACATATCAGTTAACAAACCTTGAAAGGAGTGATTTTTTAAAATAAATCGGCTTTTGCATTTTTCTATTTTTAAACCCTTTACCTATCACTTAACATAGATTTTTTTTATCAGCAGCAACCTCAGCGTTTCAGGGATGTCCCTATTTCAAATATTAAAATACAGTTATGATTTAAAGTTTTTTTCTCTGGGAAAAATAAAAGCTGACAACTTCACAATATGATTATATTACTTTACAGTAAATAATTTACCTTTCACACCCAGTCCATTAGTTCAAGTTGAACAAAATTTTACCATTAATGCTATTTAAAGAGCCAAAAATCATACATTTTAAAGAGCCTATTACCTTTTCTAATTTTTCTACCCTGATAAACTGGAACGCAAAATTGACAAAACGGGCCCATTTGAAATATTGATCAAACCTATACAAGGAATTTTTATTGACCCCCGATGTTGAAAAGTCACCTTTCACATAAATAATTGACCTTAAATGAATAAAGAAATACCTTACGAGTTCACCATTGCACTATCATGCAAGTCGATAATGACTGCATCTTTATATAATATATTTTTTTTTTTAATTTATATAAAAAAACTGTTGAATTACATGAAAAACAAGAGCTGTCTGTAGGACAGCACGCTCGACTATTCTAAGTGCTTGATAGTAAAAGAGCCTTGATAAATGTTAAATTTTTTTAAGTTCACAAAAGGGCTATTTTTTTTTTTATAAATTCATGTTATAGGCCTTAGAGAGAGTCTAATTATAACAGAATTGGCTGACTATTCGGAAGGTAATGTCACAAGGTTTTTTTTATTGAGTATAATAATAATAATTATCTATGAATACATAAATTTGACAGAAAAAGGTAGAAAAGCTTGTTATTAAGATGTTTTATCAAGTAAATCACTGTTTTATTATTATGAATGCATAAAGTTGTCCCAAAAAAGGCACAAACCCTTCAGTAGTTAACTTATTGAGATAACAGCTTACAAGCAAAACTTTACCATGAATTTCTAAGTTGAAAAAGGGGAGAAAAATCAGCCTAAATGCAAGATAGAATTATGGATCTTTGTCAGTGACCTAAAATTATGACCCTAAATGCATATGTGAAGTTTAAATAAATATCTTTAATAGTTATTGAGATATGTAAAACTTGCATGTAAACATTAACCAAGAGACTAAGTAGAAAAGGGGATATGAATCAGCCTTAATGCAAGATAGAGTTATGGAACTTGGTCAGTGACATACAATTATGACCCTCCAATTATGACCCTAAGTGCATGTGTAAAGTTTCAAGTAAATATCTTTGAAGACCTTTAACCTTTAACCAAAATTTCTAAGTTTCAAAGGGGCAAATAATTATGCAAATATTGCAGACACGAGTTATGCAATTTTGCAAACTGATGTACATTGTTACTATAAATAAGTATTTTAAATTTCAATTGAATATCTCAAGCAATAATCGAGATATTTGACTTTACAAAAAAAATTTAACCAAAATTTCTAAGTTCCAAAGGGGCATAATTCTGTCAATATGGTAGACAGAGTTATCTTACTTGTCAATCTGATGTACATTGTTACTATAAATAAGTATTGTAAGTTTCAATTGAATATCTCAAGCAATAATTGAGATATTTGACTTTACAAAAAACTCTTAACCAAAATTTCTAAGTTAAAAAGGGGCATAATTCTGTCAATATTGTAGGCAGAGTTATCCAACTTGTCAATCTGATGTACATTGTTACTATAAATAAGTATTGTAAGTTTCAATTGAATATCTCAAGCAATAATTGAGATATTTGACTTTACAAAAAACTTTAAACCAAAATTTCTAAGTTAAAAAGGGGCATAATTCTGTCAATATTGTAGGCAGAGTTATCCAACTTGTCAATCTGATGTACATTGTTACTATAAATAAGTATTGTAAGTTTCAATTGAATATCTCAAGCAATAATTGAGATATTTGACTTTACAAAAAACTTTAACCAAAATTTCTAAGTTAAAAAGGGGCATAATTCTGTCAATATTGTAGGCAGAGTTATCCAACTTGTCAATCTGATGTACCTTGTTACTATAAATAAGTATTGTAAGTTTCAATTGAATATCTCAAGTAATAATTGAGATATTTGACTTTACAAAAAACTTTAACCAACGCAGACGCCGACGCGGACGCTGACGCCGACGCCGGGGCGACTACAATAGCTCTCATATTCTTCGAATAGTCGAGCTAAAAACCTGTTCAATAACACGAATAACAAGTATTAAATTTTGTTCTTCATTTAAAACACATTTAAAAAACTTATTGCTTAAAGGGATATAATCAATACTCTTTAAATCATATTTTTTTCTGGGCAAATGGAGTTACTTCCCTTTGACTCAGTTGACAAGTATTGAGTTAGGTGACACTCTTCAAACTTTTTTAGTAGTGCCAGTCTAACCTTTGGCAAGTAAGATTTTGTATTTTGTCAAGAAATTTTCAAGAATTTTTTATTTTTTAATAACGACTATATTAAGCTTTGCTAGTACAAACTAAAAGTCCCCCGAGCTTTAATTATTTCATACAGCATGAATGGCCTCTTCCTGGCCATTTTGGGAAAAGCTACTTTGTCCAGTTTGGGAAAATTGCACTAGGTTTGGTTTTAGGTTGCACCAACATAGAAAAGTTCTTTTGGTGACTTTCCAGCTTTGCTGGTGGAGAAAGACCTCAGAGACCTGGTGTCCATTTTAGCACTCTTTCAGACATGAACAGGCACTTCAGTAGAACCACCGCTGTTCTGTATGTTTGTTTGATTAGGTTTTACGTCACACAGACGCAGTATATGTCACATTCCAGCTTTTCTGGTGGAGGAAGACCTAAGGCGCCCTTCCGTGAATTATTTCAGGCACCGGAGTAGAACCATCGAGGTTCCGTAAGCTAGCTGGATAGCTTCCTAACATGAAAGAATCCAAAGTCCCTGTCGGGATTTGAACCCACAGCCGTGAGGGGCAAGTGGTTTGAAGTCAACAACCTTAACCACTCGGCCACGGACGCCCAGCTGTTCTGTAAGCTAGGGAACTTTATAATAAGCATAATTGCCATTGGGAAGTCTGACAAATGATGACAAATTAGAAAAAAGATCTGTACATATACATGGTCACATCAATAGCTTCATAACTGGTAAAGTAAGAATCCTTCCAATTCTTTTACTACAATTTCATTTCATTCCATTCTATGGCAGCTAAATTTTATAACACAGATTCCCCTAAATATATACAATTTTTGATGTCTCAATTCCTTCCCAAAGAAATTTTTTTCCTTCCCCAAGAAATTGAATTTTTAATGTTTTTTCTCATTTCTACCTAGATAAATACTGACAAAATGTGCTTGTTACCTTTCAATGTATTGGAACAGGTAATTGTTAGTTAATAATATGTTTAAAAAAATATATTGCTGGTGAAAATAAACACAAGTATAGTTTGCAAATTCCCTCAAGCAGATATATTTGATAACAGTATATTCTATGGCCCATCTAATTAAGAAACATAAATCCCTCTCTCTTACCTCTGATATGGAGTCTGTATGTCTATCTTTCTTCTCTCCGGCATCAGCCTCTATGTTTTCAGCTCCTACAGCAGAACTACCATCAGTACCAACTTCTTCTGGATGTTTAGATCTTTCCTCTGGCCAATCTCTTCTATAGTCTTAGACTGAGTGTCTACAATTTCATCTATAATCATCATTATCCAATTTATCAATGTTTCTAACATCTTTCTCTGAGACCTCAGTTGTCTCAGGGACCTGTTCCAACTTTCCCTCAATCTCTGATTTTTCTGAGTCTAAATATTACATCTAAAACATCTTGTTTTTTTTCACTGGTTCTGACTTGTCAGACATTTCAAAAACAGCTCCTTGTTCTTCTTGTAGTTTAGGTATGTTAATTTCATCTAATTTTTCATCGTTTAGAGAATGTTCAGTATTTTTCAACAGAATCTACCTGTAATGTATTTGGTTTTTTCAAAACTTTTTTCTTCTGCGTTTTTCAATGGTTGAAAGATTCTTTTTTGGTTTCTCAACAGTTATTAGATCATTTGGTTCTTCATCAGTTAATGGATTATCTGGTTTTAAAGAACTTTCCGGTTTTTTCTGTTGTTTCAATGCTAACTTCTTTTGAACCTTCTATTTTTTCAGCACCAACTTGTTCATCTGTGTTTTCAGTGTTTATAGATTCTTTTGAATCTTCTGGTTTTACATTTTCTGGAACTTCTGTAATTTCAGCAATTAAAGGATCATTTTGTTTATCATCAGTTATTTGCTGCTGTTCTTCTTCAATATTGGCAGTGATATTTGTTTTTTCATTAGAACAGTCTTTGGCTTCATTAATAGAGGTTGTGTTTCCAGGTTGTTCCACAGAATCAACTACCTTTTCAGTACAAGTTGGCTGGTCTTGTTTTCCCAGGTTTGCAGAGCATTCTAATATTTCAATGATGGCCACTTCTTCTTTATTTTCAAGGGATACTGATGCTTCGGGTTTAATTTTTAGGTTTTTGGAATTCTTCTTCAATTAAATCATCTCACTGCATTCTTTTGAATGCCCTGAAATTTTCATTTAAATGTTTTGTGATTAAAGGGCCTTTCTACAATTAAAAAAAAAGATGAATTTTTCTTTTTTTACTTTTCTCAGTTTCAGTGTCTGTTTGTAACTGTTGATTAACATCAGCTCTGTTCTCAATCTCTTCTGTAGTAGCAGAACTGTCACCAGTCTCATATTGATTTACTTCAGCATCTTGTTTCTCAACTAATGTTTTAAATTCAACTTTATCAAATGTTTGTAGTTTGTTATTCTTTCCAGATTCATTTTCAATCTCAGCCTTGTCTTTTTCTAGAATTTCAGGTGTAGAAGCATATGAGACATCCTTGACAACATTTGGAAGCACCATATCATCTTCTGGTTCTACTAATACTTCTGAACTCTCATTTTCCACATTTTGAATCATTTTCTTTTCAGAAGACTCTCCAGAAGCTACAGCACCATCTTTTACAACACTTGGTAGCACCTGATTCTCTTCTGACTCCACTGAACTCTCAGCCTTCTCATTGACATCATTTTGTAGCTCTTTGATCTCTCCTTTGTCACTCTCTTTAATTTCTATGTGTTTTTCATCTGTCTGGGGTACAGGAGACTCCTTATTCTCCTCTGGTAAGTGATTCAGGTCAGCAAAGGCTTCCGTAGAACTCATTTTCACTCTAGATCAGCCTTACTGCCATCTCTTTAACATCATCCTGAAAAAATATATATAAATTAATATTTTATAAAACCAAAACCTGAAACTTTCATTTACACACAATATGTTACTCATGGAATATTTTTTTGAAAATTTCTTAAAACCCCTTATTTTTCATTATTAACAAAACTAAAAAGAAAAAGTTTTAAATGATTGGGACATTTTGTCACACGGACAAGAAACCCGTTAATGGGCCATATTGGAAAAACATTTAGCTTTAAACAGGTAACCCATAGCAAATAAATTAAGCTTCCCATCCGTATAATATTACAAACACAACTTCAAGCAGGCACCCATATCAAAATCCCCTATTTCTTTTTCTAAATTTTTGTTTGTCCTCCAAAAATATCATAAGGCCATCCTTAAAAAAATGTTTGTTTGCAGTAACCCCGACCCAGAATTTTTAAGGTGGGTAGGTAGGTCGATTTTTTTTTTTTTTTTTTTTTATTATTGAACTGTATCTGCCCAAATAAAATGGAATTTCAAAATGCTGGACAATATAATGCTTGATAAACTACGGTAACAATTGATAACTGAATTCTAATTTAATAAGAACTACATTTTATTTCTTCTAAATATAAACCTTTAAAAAGAACGAAAACAAAGCACAAGGCATAATTTTCTGATTCAAAAAAAAAAAAATTTTTCTATCCAGACCATGAAAAAAAAAATTTGAGTAGTGGGCAAATTTTTTGTGAGTCGGTCGCCGTTACTGCAAACAAAACATTTTTTTTAAGTGATGGCCTAAAGAATAGAACAAAATCAAATATAGCAGCTTCTTCTTTATAAAGCCGCTTGTCTCAGTCTGTACCATTTGTATTATCAACAAAATTGTCAATTAAAATAGAACAATGATATGATTTATTTTGATAACTCCTTTTTTTAGTTATGAGAAAATTTTATTTTTCAAATTCAACTTTTGATCAATTTCCCTCGCAAATTTTTTACAAAAGCTGTTTTAAAGCTCTCATTTTCCCATTAAAAAATTCTTTTCTCTTTCTAAATGAAGACTTTTCATGATAAAGATAAGTCGGTTATAGCTTTTTTTCTGTTTTTTTGACAAATGCCCCGCCAAAAAAATACTTTGAAATATGAAGATAAACAATACCAGCAGCCCGCCTGGTACAAACTCAATAAAAAACTATTTTTATATCCCTCTGACCCCCAATTTACATTATTAGACAGGCAATAAGGGTTCACTGATGTGCCTCAAGGCATAGAATCATGCATGTCCTTTGAAAGGTTTAATCTCACTGGGAAAATGAATATTGTTAAAGATAATAAGTATTATAAATAATAATTTCATTCATAGGGAGCTAATATGTTGAAAGTATAATCCAAGTCTGTACTGCACAGTCAGGATCCAAAAGTTCAAGTTATAATTAAACTTTACTGAGAAAAAACAAAAACTTTTACTTTTGACTTTCAAACGCTTAAGTAATTTGTCCCTATCCCTGCTGGGACACGCAGAAGGCAAAATCCCCCTTAAGTTATTCTGGAAACTGGAAGCTGGAAGTCTCTTTGACATAAAATTGTGGCTATTTTGGTGCTAAAATAAACCCAGCCCAGTTTGACCTAGCAGTTCAGTGGATAGGCTGGAGTTAAAAACTCTGCTCAGTTCGGAACTTCCTCTTTTGCTATACCCAGCACTGCCCTGGGGTGGGGGAGGGGGTGGTAAACTGGGTTACCATTGGCAGGTGTATAAGCTTATTACAATAATGATTTTATACTGAAATCCAATATACAGTCTATGGACTAGACAAACAAATATAAACTCAATAGGAAACTAAGGAAAGTAGTTAAATACCAGAAGTCAATTCTAAAAGCACCAAGATCTAAAGTTTTATTCGAAGAACTGTTAATTTTTTCAGTCAACCAGTGCTTTTAATGACCTTTGAAGCAATTTGTATTTCAGAATGTCTTTTTTTCCTTATGAACACAAAAGAAAAATTTAAATTTAATTTAGTATTGCCAAGCTCCGTCGGAAAACCGCTTTTTTGTCATTCTCATAACCAAAAAACGATTTAACCCTTTTATCCAAGTTCAATTTACTTACATAACAAAAATTTACAAAATTTCTTTTTAATTTTAACTTTAAAATACGAAGCAAACAAAAATTTCCCTTTAACATTCAATTAAAAAAAATTTTCCCCCTCAACATTTCTTTTAAAAGGCTTTTACCTTTTCCCCCCGCCCAAAAACATCCCCCACTACACACAATTATTTCTTTAAAAACCCAATAAAAACCCCATTTTAAAAAAACTATTTCCCTTTTCCCCTTTTAGGCATCATCATTAATTAATAAAAGGGCAAGGGGGAATGAGTCAAAAAAACTAAGACGGGCCATCTGCTATGTAAAAAGGGTTTGGGGTTTAAAGTATGAGGAAAAGAAAAAAATCGCCCTTTTTTCCAAACAGATTAATTTGGCCTCTAATTAGGGAGTTTAAAAAGCACAATGTTTCCCAAATTATACATGTTTTTTGCATGTTTTTTAATAAATTTTTGCGTTTAAAATAGACTACATAACGGAAAGAAGAAACTGAAAGGAATTTTTATGTGATAATTCATACAAATATTATGATATGGAATCTAATCAAAAACCAATCTTGTCAGATAAATGTAAAAAAAAAAAAATGAAAAGGTTATTTAGTGGTTCTAAATAATTGTCATTTTAATTCTTTTAAGAAAAACTTTTTTATCAAGAGGTTTAATTTTTCTCATTAATTTTCATCTCTTTAAATTATGGATTACTTACTGTCCCGTTTTATCAAGTCTTGATAAAAACAACATATTTCATTTCAGTTTAATGGGCAGGTAGGCTACCTATGGTGTTTTCTTTGTATGAAGAAACAGAATTTATTAACATTAAGTAATTTTGATCAGTATCAGAATATAAAGTTTAAAAAAAGATAACGTGTATCCTAGTAAACAGGTACTTGATGTTTTTTTAATAAGGTAGGAAAGGGGGATTCCTTCAGTAAGTTCAGAGTTATACAGAATTAAAATAGCTGTAACCTAATGACTGTATCCTAACCCATACCATATTAAATATCTTCAATGGGACTCTTTCATTTTTGAATCCATTGAAAACCGCTCATAATTTTTTTTTCATAATGCTAAATATTTACGGAGTGCATAGTAAACAGTGCAGACCATGAACAGGGTGCATAGTAAACAGTGCAGACCATGAACAGGGTGCATAGTAAACAGTGCAAACCATGAACAGATTGGATAGTAAAAAAGTGCAGACCCTGACAGATGGCATAGTAAACAGTGCAGAACCATGAACAGATGGCATAGTAAACAGTGCAGACCTGAACAGATGGCATGAGTAAACAGTGCACTGCAGACCATGAAACAGATGGCATGAATGTGCTGACTAATCTTTGAGGTCTGCACTGGTTCTGGAGGTATAGTCAGCTACTAGCAGTTTGAAAGTTACATTCAATGGACCCAAGTCAACAATCTTTCATGAATTCATTGAAAAGTATAAGGCACTTCATTCTCAATAGGACATATTAGCGTCTAGCACATGTATATGTAGTTGAATGGTCTGACATTGAAATTCTAAAATTAAGTACCCATGACAGTTTTTAAGCTTTTTTCAATTTTGCTTCTAAAACTTGGAAAAATAAGCTGGTTTTTTTTTTCCAGTATTGAAAAATCCTCAATTATAAAAGTGAAATTATGCCTATCCAAGTGTAACATTTTAATGGTCAGCGAACCAGGTAAAAATAGCAATAACCATTTTTGCCCATAATTTGTGTTCAATTTTTCATATTTTTTACGAGATAAAAAACAAGAGCTGTCACCCAAAAAGTGATGAATGCCCCCGAAAAAGGTTCTTAAGCATGCAGGTTTATGAAAAAAAACAGTAGAATGAAAGTAACTTATTGCTTAATATTGTTCTTGTGAAAATGAAGTGCTATTTACAGCAAAACTTAACACTTTGGAACAAGGGTCTGGGATGCGACATATTCATCTTATGTGGTAGGACATTTATGCCAAGTTATCTTAAAATCCTTCTATGCATGTCAATGTTATAAGTTTGAAAACATAATGTGTACCCTTCAAAATCTTCTTATAAGCAAAGCAAAGTACACCTGCAAAACTTTAGAGTTGACCTTTACCTTGGAGGTAAGAACATGGGTCTTACACCCACAACACATTATCTTGATGGGGTAGACATTTGCGCCAAAAATTTTAAAAACTCTTTAATGCATGACAAAGTTACAGTCCAGACACGAATGTTTGTACCCATCATCTCTAATCATGATAGCGTGAACCTTCAAAATATAAGTGTGAACTTGACCTTTGAGGTAGGGACGTCACGTGATTCTTGGATGCCACACATTGTCTGATGTGGTTAGCATTTATGCCAAGTTATTCTATGATCCTTTGATGCATGAAAAAAGTTACAGTCCAGACTAATATGTGTTCACCTATTAACTAATTGTGATAATGTGAAACTTCAAAATGTTAGTGTGACCTTGACCTTTGAGGTAGGACATGATTCTTAGACGCGACACATTGTCTTGATGCGTCAGACATTTGTGCCAAGCTATTTTCAAATCCCTCAATGTATAACAAAGTTACAGTCCGGACACGTATGAAGTGGGGACACACAGACAGATAGAGAAACGGACGGTGCGATTTTAATATGATGTCCTTCAGGAGCATTAAAAATAATCAATAATTCACATGACCAACAGAAACTTCTGTAGATATCTTTCTGGATGTATAGGTAACGTTCAATTCTTTGAACAGGGATGTAGACCGGTAATTTTGAAACACAAGGGGCAAATGAATGCAGCTTTTATTATGCTTCATCAAACATTTTCATTATCTAATATCACTTTTGCTATCATCCGATGTTTTGTTTTTCTTTCTTCAGCTACTAAAAATGCTATGTTACAATTGGTTGGTATATGTAACCCTATCGTTCATTGGCTTAC